TTGATATAGCTGTATATACGATACAATGTTGCATGTGATGTAGAACTTGTTTTTCAGGGTTGGACGCACGGTAGGAAATTCTCAGTCGCGAATGACGTCACATAAGCAATACCATCATTAACATTATAATTCTTATGAAAATATCTGATTTTAGATATTGTAAGAACTCATCTAAAGCTGAAGCGAAAAACCTCAAAGAAAACTGCGCATTGATATTCAACCCAGTAATTTTGACGCCAGTCACATCTTTTCCTTTTTAGCATTTGGACGAGAATCCGCTGTGCGCAGCTGCAAGGAACTCAAAACACGCAGCCCTGACAGTGAATCTGGCATCTATTGGATAGACCCTGACGGTGGATTCCATGACAATGCATTCCAGGCCTACTGCGATCAGCAGACGGCGGGAGGGGGCTGGACACTAGTGTGGAGTTATGGCTTCACAGACTATGATAATTTCAACAGCGGAGGCAACGCGGTGACGCCAATACCAAGTTGGCCAGTATCAAAGTCCAATGTACGTGTCTCAAAGACACTGCCGCTAAGAGAAACAGATTACGAGGCAATGCCATTTGACTTGTGGCGCGCACTGGGAAACGAGATCTTGGTGAAGTCCAATATCAACAACTGGATCACATGCAAGGCGGGAAGCGGCAGTATGGTGATGTGGCAAAAAGGCTCGATCAACTGCAGTGTAGTTAAGGTGGTGGCCCGAAATTGTAACGATACAGTCCCAACGACGTTCAGTGTTTCCTCCGCGAATGGCCCGTCGCTGGATGCATCAAGTCTTTATTATTATTTTGATGGCTACAAGGGAAGTAATTGGCCAACACACGACCCATGCGGGAGTAATGCGGTTAATCACGTAAAAAATGTTGCCAACCCACGTGGAAACCTATACGTTAGATAAACGCTTCGAATAAAGTATAATGAACGGCTTAATTTTCAAAACATAGTTTGTAAAAGGAAACCAGTTATTTTCTATCTGTATTGCATCGAGCTGTTTAAATGGGGAAAAACCTCTTTTAGTTGGGTAGAAAACCATTGCCTGCCACTTATAATATCTTGTTAGAATCAATGGAACACACTGAAATGCTATGAATCTCCAAAAAAGTATTAATATATATTACATGTAAAAGCCTTTTTCAAATAAAGTTTATGAAGTACATTCGTCTAAGCAGCATCTCTTGGTCGTAAACATCAACTGAGCTGCCCCTTACCGCATGTTTTGATAAAAATATAAACAAAGTCTATTGTCTTTTTTGAGTTTTGACTTCCATGTTGAATAACACGAAAAAATTCAAGTTCCTGAAACAACAATGAGACTACCTGCTACTGATCAAGCACTGRTTTTTCACTACAGTAAACTCGAAACGCGCATTACAGAGACATTTATTTAAGCTCTTCGACAACTATGGACGGCAAATGCAAGATCACTGGAGTCTTGATGCTCACGGCTTTGGTTCTTCTGAGGTAAGTTTTAACCATTTTTAGCTACAGATATGCAAGGTATATCAAGCGAGCATACAAACAGGATAAGTTCTTAGCGTAGTGTTAAGGCTTTGACCAACGTTTTTTTTAGCGCTGCTATATAGCATCAATACCTACTGACAAGAAATAAGTATAAATGAAATTTGAGTCATATGTCTTCATTAATTTTGAAATGACAACTTTAAAACTATTCAAAAGCAATGATTGAAGCCGGCAGAGGGCAGGCTCACAATTTAAAAAAAAA